CCAAGCCCACACGCACTGAGGCTCTCGGGCTGCTGCCGCCTCTCCTCCTCCAGCTGCCGTGCCGGTCCTGCGGCAGCGCCCTGCGGGCGGGGGGTGCGGGGGCTGCCGCGGCAGCCTTTCTGCGCCGGAGGCCGTCTGATTTCGGCTCCGCGCGCCTCCTCCTCCTATTCGTCGTCCTCCTTTTCCTCCTCCTCCTCCTCCTCCTCCTCCTCCTCCTCCTCCTCCTCCTCCTATTCGTCGTCCTTCTCCTCCTCCTCCAACTTATGGCTCCTCGCGCCTCTGCGTCCTGGCCTCGCGCAGCTGGGCGCCGTCTGCCGCTGCCCCTGCTCCAAGGGCGAACAACCCCCACTCGACAGCATCATCATCATCATCATCATCATCATCATCATCATCATCATCATCATCATCATCATCATCATCATCATCATCGTTCTCTCCAAGGATCCCAGGGCGATCTCAAAGTTTATAATATCCACCTCGATCCCACTCTCAATGATGCTGGTAAGTTTTCTGTTTTCGAAAAAGTTGCCGAGACCCTTCCCCACAATAACTCGTGTTTGACTTTCCTGGCAGGGGACTTTAACTTCCTTGAATCAGGAGAGACTCGAATCAGGACCGACGGTGAATACCAGCGTCCTGAGCGTCCCGCTCTTCTTCGACGCTTTCGAGAGCTCTTCCCGAACTCGCTCGAACTGGCGCAAGACGAACCCACGCATAGGACTGGGATTTTGGGGAAGGTGTGCAGTCTCTGGGACGTATTGACCGTATTTATACTTTTGCTGACACTTCTACGATTTTGGAGGCCACGCCTACTCCTGGAATCGTTGGGCACGTCTTGAAAGCTAGCGAGCCGAGTGATCATGTTCCTGTCTTTGTTCGTTTTACACCAGGGCTTTGGTCCCATGCTAGTATTCCGCCGTGGGTGACCGCACATCCCGAATTTGCGCAGCTAGTTGATGAAGCACGGGCCCAGATTGACCTCTCCACGGACCCCCTCCTCGCCATAGAAGAGATAAAAGAGTGTATGCACATTGCGTCCACTGAGATAAAGACACGCGTATATCGATATGGTGTACAAGCGGATACGCATCGCCTCATGGTTTGTTTGAAATGCATGCGTGCCAACTCGAACGGGCAGAGCCACATCGTACGCAGGTGTGCACGCGCGTACGACCAGATCGTGCAGTTCACAGACGAGCAGCACGAGCACATCATTGATCTTGCGAGGCTCCACGAGCACATCCGCATCATACAAGAGCGCATGCTGGTCTTAGAGCTTGGGGAGCACGAGCAGTCCCCAGAGTACCAGTATGATGGCGAGCGAACAGTCAAGCTGCACAAGCTTTTGAAGGCATGGTCTCCCAGGCATAGGCGCATATCACTCGTAGGCATCCTGGACAACCAAGGGCACGCGCCCACCAGTCTAGAGGACAGCGCCGCCCGTCTTGCTGATCACTGGGGCCGAGTACACTCCGCCGCTGATGTGCCAAACGTTCCCCCGCATATCTCAGAGATGCTGCTTGCCCAGTGCCAGAAAGTCTCTCCAGGTATCAACTGGATTGTTCCGCTCTCTGACATGCTCGGCTTTCTCCGCCACAAGAAGGACACTGCTGCAGGTCCTGATGGCATCCCGTACTCAGGTTGGGCAGGTTGGGCAGCATGTAGCATTGAGTGTAAGGAGATCCTGTACCAAGCGCATCTGCGATTTATGTCTGGACACCCACTCCCTGGAGGCTTCAACCATGGGGCGACGGTTTTTCTAGCCAAAATTCTCGAGGACGGCTCCCTGAGGGATGTGCGGAAAAAAAGCTGCGGAGACCCGTCCGTTATTCCTGGGCAAAACTGATAATAAAACCTTCGCTTCAATGCTGTGTATTCCTTTTGGTCAACAGGCTCAGTTTTCTGTGCACGAAAACCAGACCGGGTTTACCAATGGAAGGAGTATGCTGGACAACATTACGGTGATTGAGTCTGAGTTCCTGGAGCATGGAGTGTTTCAAGGAGCCGAGCGAGCTGGCCGATTCTTGCTTGATTTTGCTGCAGCCTTCCCGAGTCTCGCACATGATTGGATCCTGACCGTGTTACAACATATACTTATTCCTGGCTGTGTCGTGGACGCTGCTCAGCAGTTATATCGTGATATATACATACAAGTATAAGATTAGGAGGGGGCGCTTTCAGAGGATACTATTCTACACGTGGAATCAAACAGGGGTGTCCGTTATCTGGTGTATTTTTTGCCCTTGCTGCTGATCCTATTTTCAGATGCTTGTATTATGTTATGACTCCGTTGGCACGGCCATTTGCATTCGCTGACGACGTAGGCATCGTTTCCAGTGACCTTGTTCGCACGCTCCCCGACGTGTTGAGAGTGCTCTCTCGGGCCGCGCTGGCGACGGGCCTGGTCTTGAACCCAGGCAAGTGCTCGTTGGTGTTTGCTGTGCCATACTCCAGGAGGGAGGTTGTTGAGATGTTCCGTGGTTCTGGCATCAGAGCTAGACTGTATCGGGTCGGCACTTTCGGCAAGTATCTGGGAGTTTACATCGGCCCGGATGGGCCCACGTTGTCCTGGGGCGCTCCAGGGGTCAAATACATCAAGCGAGTCTGGCACATCAAAGGTCTGTATTTAGGGCTATGCCGGAATATCACTGCCTACAACTCGCTGGCTTTCTCCGTGCTCAGCTTTGTGGGCCAGCTGTATCAGGTGCCGCCAGCTGTGCAGAAAAAAAAAAAAAAAAAAAAAAAAAAAAAAAAAAAAAACGAGAAAGAAGCTCATCAGCTTCACGCGTCCGCTCCCAGGCATTCCATTCCTGCAGACATCCACAGGTCCCCTTCGGTGTTGTGCTTCCCTCGCGGCCCCAGAGACCTCCAGAGAGAATCCAGGGCCAGTTTTGTATCGGGTCGCATTAAAATCTTGCTGGTTCCCTGAAGTGCGAGGAAGGTTTGCCTGGCTGGAGGATGAGGAGATTGATCGACTGGCTGTTCCGCGCCACACTGAGTGGTATGACTGCAGTATCTGTTATTCCTTGATTGCCAACTACAGCCAGCTGACTGCCATTCCAATGATGATAATTGACTCCGACACGGACATGTTGCAGGAGAAAAGTGAATGACATTCTGAGGCGTAGGCAAGCCCCGATTTTTGCCAATTTAGCTCTACCCCCTCGCATCGGTCATTTCGACAACACTGCTCCGCTTCCCAAGGCAGATTTAGTAGTTATGCGTATCAAGCTTGCTGTCATTAAACTTGCCCCGTTTGTGGGAGCCGCTGTCTTGAAAGGTATTTGTAATTCTTGGGCCACCAGTTCCAGGTACCGTCAGGGGCGACATGCTTGCCTGTTCGGGTGCCGAGCGTGTGGTGGCGATCACATCCTACATTACTTTGACTGCCCATGCGTTCTAGAGCCTCTATGTCAGGTTCTGCCCCACCTCCCTCCTGACTACCTCTCCTGGGCGGCCCAGGACCGCCTGCTGCTCCACAGCCATCATGTTGCCAACTCTCCTGCCCTGTACTCTACCATGCTTGCCCACGATCTGATACCCAGCACCTTTAATTCGCTCAGGAACCTGAAGCGATACGGCCCTGAATGCATTCTCACATTTTACAAAGCGCGCGCGAGGGCAATCTCGAAGCGGAAGCCACACATTCGTGCTCTGTTTCAACGGCGATAGGGATTCAGTAGATTTGGTGCTTGGAGGAGCTGCGCCATCATCATCATTGTCATCAGCAGCATCCTCAACCTCATCAGCATCGACGTCGTCATCATCATCAGCATCGTCATCAGTAGCAGCAACATCAGCATCAGCAGCAACACCATCATCATCATCATCATCATCATCATCAGCATCATCATCGTCATCGTCATCGTCATCATTGTCCTCGTCTTCGTCGTCGGCGTCGTCTTCGTCTTCGTCGTCGACAGCATCAGCATCAGCATCATCAGCATCATCATCATCATCATTGTCATCAGCAGCATCCTCAACCTCATCAGCATCGACGTCGTCATCATCATCAGCATCGTCATCAGTAGCAGCAACATCAGCATCAGCAGCAACACCATCATCATCATCATCATCATCATCATCAGCATCATCATCGTCATCGTCATCGTCATCATTGTCCTCGTCTTCGTCGTCGGCGTCGTCTTCGTCTTCGTCGTCGACAGCATCAGCATCAGCATCATCAGCATCATCATCATCATCATCATTGTCATCAGCAGCATCCTCAACCTCATCAGCATCGACGTCGTCATCATCATCAACATCGTCATTGTTATCGTCAGCAGCATCATCATCATCAGCATCACCATCATCATCATCATCAAGGTCCAGATCCATGCCAGGATCATCCGCGGGGATGTACTCCGCTGCTGTCCTCTGCCTGCCTCCTGCTTCTCCTGCCGCCGCTGCGGCTGCTGCTGCTGCTGGGGCCGCTCCCTGGGCATCCGCAGGCTCTTATCTTGCACGGGCGCGCTCCCGAGTCGTTCCGCCAAGGACGGGCCTCTTTCATCCCACTTGTTGTGTCAAGGCCGGGGCGCGCGGAGGCGCGGGCCAGGCCGCACTTGCTCTGCTGGCTTTTGCTGCCGCCTTCTCTTCCCTTTCCTTCCCTCCCCTGTTGCTGCCCTTTTCTTCCGTCTGCCACGGCTCGACCTTCTCGAGCTGGTAAGGAAACAAGTGTCAGGGCGCCTTCTTCGTGGACTGGCTCGGGTCGTAGAAGGCAACATCTGGCTTGCGCTTCTTTTTGGCCACCCCGCAGCGCCGACGCGCGATGCGGCACGCCCAGTTCGATGCTGCCGCACCAGGCTTTGCGGACGCCCCACACGTCCAGTTTGGGTGTTCTCTCATCTTTCCTTCCATGGGAGCCCGCGCGGACAACTGATGGTCTCTAAGCCAGCCCATGCACAACCCGAGTCTCCGTCAGTCTCTCCCAGCTCGGGTCAGGAACAGAGATACTGATGATGCTGATGCTGATGTTGATGCTGCTGGTGATGATGCTGCTGATGATGATGATTATTAGGATTAGGATTAGGCTTGAGATTCTGCTGATGGTGATGATGGTGCTGGTGATGCTGATGATGATGATGGTGGTGGTTGTGGTGATGATGATGGTGGTGATAGTGATGATGGTGATGATGATGTTGATGCTGGTGGTGGCGAGGAGAAGAAGAACGAGGAGGAGAAGGATAACGAGGACGAAGACGACGATGAGGATGAGGATGATGAGATGGAAGAGGACCAGTTGTTTGTTTTCCCTCGGAAATCATCAGTGTATCATGTAAGTGTCATAGGATGTCGGCAAAAACTTCATGCTGTCCTGCGGAGTCGTCAGGCGTGACTAAGGCATGCTAGCGATGTCATTGCGAATGTTGCGGGATCCCTCGTAAATCCCATTGGTTTTCCCCAGGGCCCCGAAGGATTTCCAAGGCCCCCGATTGATTTTCTCAGGCTCATCCTCACGAGTTCCTCCCGAACGCCCCAAAAAGGTTTCCCAATCGTTCCTCGTGCTCTCACCTCCGGCTTTCTTCCCCGAGCAGCTTGTCCGCAAGCGTCCTACAGTGAGCGGCTTGAGTGAGGAAGACTTACTTTTCAAAAGGGGCTCGGTCGTTCCTTAGGCTTGCATGCACGATTTGTTATTTATCGTTCCTTATGCGTTATTCCTCGGGATAAAAAACAGGGGCTTCGTTCCTTATTTATCGTTCCTTAGGTCAGGCCGATGACTGTACATCCACTGTTTCTCCCGCCGGGCGTGAGCCTCTCCCGATCCGGCATGGGGGGACCCGTGGTCGACCCCCTTGACCTCCAGCATGGTGCCTCGCGTACGCGGATTTCCGGCACGCGTCTTCTCCCGTATTACACCTTAGGCGATGCTTAAGAAAACTTACGTTTTCGGCCAGAGTCTCGATTATTCTTAACGTTTCAATGTAAATCCTAAGATTTTAATGGAAATGTGTTTTTTTATTCAAGTTCTGAGACTATGAATTTCTTAACCCATGATTTCTTAAGCATTTCGCAGGGTGTACAGTCGGGGCGCTGAAAAAGGAACCCTTCTCGTTGGCGAGGGGCTCGGTGTTCCTTGATTGTTGTACAGTTTGCGTTGGGTTCTCCACGGGAAAGCGAAGTTGAACTTATGGGAAAAGGGGGCCTCGTTCCTTATTTAGGGTTCCTTAGGTCAACGCCCCGACTGTATGGTATCCCGTATGCTCGCCAGCGTAGTGTGCCGTGTGGTCTCGCGCGTGCTCTCCCGTCTGCGCTTCGGCGTGGTCTCCCGCGTGTCTCCCGCAGGCACGGGCGCCCGCGTGCACGGCTTCCCGCGCGTCCTCCCATGTGGTCTCCCGCTCGTGCGGTGCGGCCCGAGGTTCCCTTTCACTGGGTAGGTGTGGTGTCTTGCGGTTTCTGCTGCTGGGGTGTAAGATTCGCGTCCTGGTAGTGCTAGAGTTCTGCTAAACACGCCCCCCAGAGTGGATGTGTTTGGGTCTTGGTGCAACGGGTAACGCCAGGGGGGGTCTGATGCGCTTCGTGCGTTTCGCTGTTATGTGGGCCTAGTGTTGTTTTCCATGTGTGTATGCGGGTGTGGGTGTGTGCTTCAGCGCTGCTGTCATGAGGAATGAAGGATGTGTCGCGCGGGTTAGTCGTGTGGAAAAGCGTTAGCTATTGGTGTTGTTGTCGCCGTGACGTGATAGGTCATTTTAGCGATTGCCGTCAAATCTTGACTCCCAGTGTACACTTGTCATCGCCATGGCGATGGGGATCCGTGCGCGTTGCGTGACATGTCCTGCGCCCGTCGTGCCACGTTGCGCCGAGGCCACCAAATTGCCTGTCCGCTCCTCCATTTCGTCACGTCCTCTCCCCCATCATGTTTTCTTCCTCCTACGTCCGCATCGCGCTCTCTTCCTCATCGCGTTCTCTCCATGATCACGTCCTCTTCCACTTTGTTCTGCACGCACGAAATGGGCACAGAAAGAATGGGCACAATGCACAACAGCAGTTCCTGCTCATCTTGAACAGGACTCGCTGTCCGCGCCGCCGCGGCCTGTGTCCATTTGAGACAGGGAGCCGCCCGCCCAACAGCGGCCGCTGTTGGTTCGGGACGACAGTTGCTGTTGCATTGTACCCATTCTTTTGGTACCCATTTCGGGCGTCCAAAATCGCGTTCTCTCCATCATCGCGTCCTCTCCCACTCTGTCGCGTTCTCTTCCTCCCGCGCCCGCCCGCGTGGCTCCAGCGCGGGGCGGGCGTCTCGCAGGCAGGGCGGGCCGCGCCTGGGCATGCGCGCCCGCGGCGGAGACGATGCCACGGGGGGTCAGGCGCGCGCGCGCACACCAGGGAGGAGAGGGAGGGAGGGAGGGAGGAGGGAGGAGGAGGAGGACGAGGAGGAGGAGGAGGAGGAGGAGGGGGAGGAGAGGGAGGGAGGGAGGGAGGGAGGGAGGGAGGGAAGAGGAGGAGGAGGAGGAGGAGGAGGAGGAGGAGGAGGAGACGCCGCCGAATCGGCGCAGCGCAACGACCATCGGTGGCGGCGAGGCAGGCCGCTAGGAGGGCAGCCCGTGGAGTCTGACTGCACAGGCGCGCACTGGCGAGGCAGGGCGAGATTTCCTTCGCAGGGGATGCCGAGGAGGACGAGGTGGAGGACCAGTGTAAACCCAAGAGTCATTACCGATGTTGGAACAAAAACCCTTCCTCCAAGCCCCCTCTTCACAGGCCCCTACC